GGTGAGATCAGGGGCCATATGTATAAAGCAACTCAGAGTAAAATTTTAGTCTTAAGTCTGTAAAAATTCAAAGAATTACATAATTTTACTCTTATTCCTAAACTTAAGAATAAGTGTGATTCATAAAGTTTCCTAAGTGTCAAGACTAGGTCTCAGCTCCTAAATTATTTAAGAGTGCTGGAGAGGTATCCTAACCTAGTTAGGAGTAACAAGATGGCAGCAGAGAGGAAATATGATGTACTGGAGTTAAATGATGACGTAGTTGATCAAACGATAAAAGTTTGATCATCAAGGAATACTTTTTGTAACTAACCTTTAAGAAATTTTATAGCAATGAAATTAAATGAAACTAAGAATACATTTTTGGCGTCTGTAAAAATGCAGCAGTGCACCGGTGATGACTTGAGCTCATCATCATTTCACAGTATGCAGGGTCTGAAATAGCACTATTGTGACTAGGTTTTTAAGATTGGAACCAAACTTTGGTTCCAATCGTTCTTCAAAATATCTTCCTTTGTGTTCAGCAGAAGAAAGAAACTCATACAGGTTTGCAACAACTTGAGGGTGAGTAAATGATGACAGAATTTTCATTTTTGGGTGGAGTATCCCTTTAAAGCAACACCATGTGATTTTTCCTCAGCGGTCGCCCTACAGGTTGGAAGCAGAATTGTCCATTACTGCTGTCGTAAATAATTTAGCCGGCTCTCTCTCTCTCTGCCGTGCTCGCGCTATGTATGTTATGCGAGCAGTATGTTCTGTCTCGCATGCGCGCTCTAGATTCCGGCAGATCTGAACTAATTTGCGGGCATCAGGGAGACGCAGGAGACTCCCGGGAGACTTGGGATGTCTGCAATGGCCACAGACAATTTGAGGAAGTGGTGGGGGAAGTGACGTATGCCGTAAAGCAGTCGAATTTTGTAGTTCTTTTTGTGCACGGGTTCCTACCCGAAACCCGAAGTTACATAGTGCCAGTAAAAGCGATACAGACCACGTCAGGCTATGGCAGACGTGTCATTTAACTTATTTTAAGTCGATGTACCATCACAAGGGTCTTGGAAATATATTATGAAGGTTGAAAAACTACATAGTGTTACTTTAAGAGCATTTCTTAGAAGTTTTATACATACGGGCCTAGATCTTGGTGTGGAGCAATACCGGCTGTTGTCAGACTCCTTGTGCATACAAAAATCTCACTGGATTATTACAATTAATGGCAAAAGGAATGTTTGAAAATGTAAACTGATATATCCTACAGACACACTACAGCAAAATAAATAACTGGCTTAAAACCATTTTTTGGGGGTGAAAATACTAACATGCCTAAGACTTTTGCACAGTATTTACTCAACGTAAATGTTTACGCAGCATGGATTGTTTCACCTAAATTTCCGCATTAGGACTGAGCAACTTTCAGGTGAAATTGTGATTAACTGGAGTGTTCAATCAGATAAAGGCTGTTGGCATTTATATACTGTACACTACCGGTTAAAAGTTTGAAATAATGATTTTTAATGTTTTTCAAAGAAGCCTCTTATGCTCACTAAGGCTGAATTTATTTAATTAAAAATACATTTACAATATAAATAAAATATTATTACAATTTAAAACTGTTTTCTACTCTAAAATGCAATTTATTTCTGTGATAGTAAAGGTGAATTTTCAGCAGCCATTACTCTAGTATTCGGTTTTACATTATCCTTCAGAAATCATTCTAATATGCTGATTTGGAGCTCAATTATCAATTATTTGTACATATTATTATATGATATGTACAATATTGAAAACAGTTTATCTATTTATATTTATTTAGCCCATTTTTATTTAACTTTATTGTACTTTGTGTTTTTTGTTCAAACAAACTCAGCATTCAAATTACTTTTATTCTACTACAGAGTTCAAATAAATATTGCTCTTTAATCTATTACAGCACATTACTGTAGAGATTTACAAATTTTTACTAACCTCTGTCAGAACAGGCAAGTCAATTGAAATGGGAACACTGGAAACAAGTTATGAATGAATGAGTGAGTGAGTGAGTGAGTGAGTGAGTGAGTGAGTGAGTGAGTGAGTGAGTGAGTGAGTGAGTGAGTGAGTGAGTGAGTGAGTGAGTGAGTGAGTAAGTGAATGAATGAGGTAAATATACATATAGCACATTTCCTATGTACTACTGTACACCCAAAGTGCTTCACCAGTATGCAGCATACACTTGGATGATGTGACAGCAGACACAGTGCAATGGCTCACATCACACAGTGCTCTCATCACACACCAGCTATAGGTGGAGGAGAGAGAGTAGTTTTCAATAATCTCTTTTATCAAGAATTTATTATATCAAGAAAAGAAATATGAAATAATATACTGAAGGATAAAGTGCGAAATGTATCATCAGATAATGAGGATGAGAAGTATGCAGGTAATTCACCCCAAGTCAGGACATTGTATTTTGGGATACAACATTCCACACATTGTGTTGTAGTTGTACACTATACTGCAAATATTACCAGGACTTCCATGATTCAAAATTTACTATGCACAGTATACTGTAGAATACAGTATATACTGTAGAAATAGATTAGTACGCTATTCTGCACATAGGCAATTATCTTCTGCAGAAGTTAATTGATGCAGTGATCTCACTTCCTGTATAAGCTGCTTCTTTTTTTAGATCTGCAAGCTCAGCAATGCTTTTTAATATCTCATAACCATCACTAATCCATTCCTTACAAGAGGAGTGCATTCCAACTTTCCGTTAGCATATGAGAGTGGAGATAAGAGCCTGGATTAGCCAAGGACTAATTAGAAGATGACACACATCGATCACCAGATCTACCTGACACTGAGACAAGAAGAGAACAACAAGGGCGTGCAGTCCCAGAGTGGAGGGTGAACAACTTCGTATACTGGGCATCTTCAGAATGTCTTGGTAAGAGTGGTGTAAATAGACAGACAACTGTCAAACGCAGTGCTGAAATTTGACCTGTAACCAACCCTCAGTTCTCTAGTATAAACATGTTTGGGAAATGAGAAGAAAAAAACCCAGAGCAGGACTGGGATCACCGTAAATCCCCAAGCTCTGGGTCAACCCCACTTTAGAAGTTTGTGGGTAACCGCCTTGCCCACAAATCTGTCAGGAAGTACAGCAGCACTGTAACCCGTCAACACCTAATTTATAAATCTCTCTTTAATAATTCTTTATTAATATATCAAATCCATCAGCAGTGACTGAGCCTCATACTCCTGCATACTGCAAACTACATTATCATCAATACTGGTGGCAGCAGAAGATGGGATTGAATTTCCAGACTTCCAATAAATCTCTTGCTTTCATATTCTTCATCCTGAGAAATATGAAATAGTGTACCTGAAACAACATGTCAAGCAGTGACGGCAGCACTATTTAGGTGAACTGCCATTCAGATTGTGAAAAAAAGCAACTGAAATATTCACTTTCCATTATACATTCATTTTAATCTAAAACCTTCATGTAGAAAAAAAAATGCTCCTCCATGTTATTTAGCAAATACCTAATTTCAAACTTTGTTGTTACATTACTTGTTTGGGGTTCTTTGTTCTTATTTTTGTTTTCCCCCATCACTGGGAATTTAATCTATAGAAGCTGATGACTTGGAAAAAGATCGGATTGGAATTCCAATTAAAATGTGGACAACTGAAAAATTGCAAACAAGGACAAATATTATACATATAAATATGATAATATTAGAATTGAAATAGTGGAATGCATATGGTGTGAGTGTTGGTCTGTTTCGTTATGCTTTTTCTTTAAACTCTAGATTGAACAGGTTTGTCAGTTTTATCAGATTTGTGAAGGGGAGCTAAGGTTACATGAGGTTGAATAAGGACAACTAGAGTGGCTTTAGGTTACTTGATTAGACCATTGTGCAATTAAAGTAAAGGCCAGAAAGGAAGGGTTAGAGGCAGAGAAAAAATGCAGCAATAGAGGAAAGGTAGAGATACCTAAATAGAGATGGTCCACTGGGGGGAACCTTTTCCTCCAGACAGGGTTATTTATTTCACACAGTAATCCCAAACAGCTTCTCGAGTAAATTAATTAAGCTTCTATATTTGGCAGGTTTCAATGGGGGCACATTCCTCTTCCCTCTTCTTTTCTTTCCTCACTTTCTCTCTCCCTCACTTTCTCATTTGCCAGATTTTCTGTTTCTCTTTCTCTCTCCATCAAATAAATAAATAAATAAATTAATTAATAATAAAAAAACTGACCATCTTACAGTAAGAATTAACAGTCTTCTTTTTTTCTGCTTAAAGGTACACAAGTAATTTGCAGATAAGAAAAATAAATAAAATTAAGAAACGTCAACAATTAAAGAAATGTATAGGTAAATTTAAGACTAAGAATACGAGGTTACACTTTTACTCCAAAGGGAAGTGAACAGAAGTTTATCAAAACTAAATGATTTTTCTGGGTCATTTCAAGTTAAGCATTCTGGCAATTGCCATAGACAATACATTTCAACTATGGGGCAATGCCTGTCAGAGAGTATAGAAGCAGGAATGTGAAGGTCATTTTTATTAGAACACTTATAATAACGTAGATACAGTATATTGCCAGGTATATACAAGGATACCATGAATATGATATTCATGATGTCATTGCATATACAGTACCAGGCAATATTTCGCATTTACCAGCTCTACATGATCATGACAAGAATTGAAAGACTGGATGTAACTTTGCACAGAAATATTACAAGCAATATTATCACACAGTTTAAGTCATATAGGCATAGTTTTGAAAATGTGTTTAATGTGTTTTGGCTCATAGAATTTTATTGTGTGTCACTTTAAATGCCTTTTTAGTTTGTTTTAACTAAGCAAGGGACAAATCGGAATGCCAGTGATGTTTTTGACAGAGCTTAAAGAAGTATTAAATCTGGAACATTCTGTAATGGTAGTATGTGTTTGCATAGGGTCATTTTAATCCATTAGGTGAAGTTTAGCTGTGCTGGGCTCTTGTGCCATACCTCTGCTCTGTATGGTAGGAAGAGGGCGCTGGCAAGGTTTCCTGTAATACCACTGAGAACGTAGATGATGGAAATGCGTAACCAGCCTGCTAGTTTCTCCAGGTCTCTAAGTATAGTCATTTGGAAGATCACTGACACCAGGCAATGTAGTAAACTAAAGAACAATCACATGAGCATGGGTCAAAGAAACTGTCAATACCATTGTGTTAAGTGTCAAATCTAGTAATAGTCTCAGTCTGCCTCTCCTTCCATGTATAGACATGAGAAAGAGTGCAAGAGAAAGAATGAGTATAAAGACCTAAACCTTACCCAGCATGAAGAAAAAGGGAGAGCCACAGTCTATAGAACTGATCTGGGACACTGGGGTTCAGGAATGGCAGCAACCCACACACATCATCCAGGCAGTGGACCTGATGATGTATGAAAAATGTAGTGGGCTGGATGATATGATGTACAACAACAAAAAATGGTCTCCATTTTCCAGTATTACCATTTAATTCTGTCCAGAGAAGTCTATTTTCAGAAAAAAGTGAACCACAGAGCATTTTTAAGTTAAGCTTTTAAAAACCTGTCCTGTTGTCTTAATTTTGATGGCTGGGCTAAAAATTATGTTTTCAATGTAAATGGATACCTGTGAACAGAGTGTAGCCTCCTCATGGAAATATCCACGCATGAATTGGCAGTACTCCCAAGTGGTAATTTCACATCTTGATAAATGGATAAAAATGGAGCAGATTTGAATAAAGATTATAAAATTTGACTGTCAGATAATGAGGCACCTGATGCAACTTCACCCAAATATTTAATGTTTTTTTTCATTTGTCATTCCAGACCAATTTTTCCCACCGCTGAAAATCTTTCCATCTAAGCTCTCAAATTGCAATTGCGTTTACATGCATTGAAATAATATGATTGGAGAACAGTTGTGGATGACAAGATTAGAGTAAACATAAATTTTAGTTTGTTTCTGACACAAATACTATTATTGTACTTTTTGTCATTTCTGGAGCTCATCAGCACTGGTCCTCATTCATTTTCATTGTGGAAAAGCATGAACATTATTTTGAACATATATTTTTGTGTTCCAGGGAAGAAAGAAGAGTTATGGTTTTAGAACAATATTAGTGTTAGTAAATGAGAATAACATTTTTGGGTTAACTATTTATTTAAGGCAATTACTACGTGTATGAAGCTAGACTCGGTTAGTGGCTTTTGACTGTAAGCATATGACAAAATTGTCAACATGTTTAATGCAAACTGTCATCATCTAAACCTTGATTTTTATTATTTCAAATGTTCATTCATTACCTTCCTTTAGTTCCAATACAGCATGGCCTGCCCTTCAGTGTGCAGTCCATGTGTTTGTATCCTGTGTGGTTCCATGTTTTAGGGTATGTACAAATCTGCAGTAGAGGAATAGGAGAGTGAAAAACAATCAAGGCATAAAACTCTCTCTCTGTCTGTGTGTGTGTGTGTGTGTACACAGGCACAATTTTCATAATTTTGGCTCTGTATGCCACCAGAATACAATTGAAATTAAACAATCAATATGAAATTGAAGTGCAGACTTACAGCTTTAATTCAAGGGCTTGAACAAAAATATTATGTGAAAAGTTGCAACCATTTTTATACACAGCCCCCACATTTTCAGGGGCTCAAATGTAATTGGGCTAATGAATATAGTCATAAATAAAATGTTCATTTTTAATATTTTATCGAGAACCCTTTACATGCAATAGAGACTTTAACCCCCTGGGGTCGGCTATCGCGCCGGCGCGATTGTCTCGCTTTTTTTCTTATCAGTGCAAAAGAGACTCAAAATACTCGGTAGATTTTGATCTTACATATAAGTGTGATACATCATTAGATCCTGTTAATTTTCTTTTTTTTTTGTGGATGCTCACAATAAAAACAAAGTGTTGTGCTTTTCACCAAATAAAGATAAACAAACATGATGCGAGTTCTGCGTTCTCTCTGTCAGTGAAGTCCATTCTAAAACGCGTCCTAAGATTAACTGTAACTCCGCGATTACTTGTCACACAGGCACGAGAGATTTTTCTTTATGAAGCTTGAATTCTCTTCTTTTAAATGAAGTAATTTATATAAAAAACAAATATTCTCAGTTTATGCAATCTGTATGAAAAGAGAGTGCTGTCAGTATTTTTTTCCCAGCTCATTACACTTCATTACGCGTTAATCTGACACGCCCACGGAGGGTGCGCGCTATTCAAACGCAAATGTCGAGGCAAGCCATGACAATGCCCACATCAGCCGTTCCACCGCGGCGGTAAAATGTGTGGTGTATTTGCTGCCTTTTACCGCTAAGAGGCGCTACAATCATAGACTCTGAAAAGTGTTCGTTTATTCCGGTTTATTCTCTCTAATGCGTAATCTACTGCCGCACCGCGCTGATTCAGAGCGATTGAAAGCTGGTAGCAGATGAATTCAACAAGTGAAACGTAGTTAAAATAATTCATAATCACAATACTGAAATTAGGCTACTGAAATGTAATTGAATAAATAATGAAAACATTTCAACATAAAACATTGCAATAAAAACATTTAGGCTACATCAATGAGGCTTTACAACTTTAACAGCGTACAGACGGTAGCTCAGTGATCAACGCAACAACACGAGCTTCGAGGAGCTTCAATCGACCCGAGATCGAATCTCAAAGTAGCATAGGCCTACATGTTGTTAACCGATGTTGTCCTACAGCGTTTATATTTTACCACCTTGATGCTTAAATAAGTAACTGTTTATAACTGTTTACTTATTTAAAGTCAAGAGTTTTGTTTAATTATCATTACAACATAAATTTGCTACATTCCTGTAGAACCGCAGCCGCTACACAAACGACAAAAACTGGTGAAGGAAGATTGTCAGCCGATTGCATCAGAAAATGAAAATGAAGAAGCTCGTCTTTAGTCTGCTAAATTATTGTGTAATGTAAAAGAACACTAAAATTACTTAAGTTTGAAACCAAGTTCGAACATTTCAAGGTTTAAATAAAGTGTCGGGACAGTTTTTTTAAATTTAAAACAGGGTTGCATCGGGTTTAGAGTTTATTTCTTTTGCGATGCAAAATAAGAAACACTAGGCTAATCTTATTCTTGCGACATTTTAAATTTGTATTGCCAAAGAAATTACAGCTAAATTAAACAATTAAAACAGTACAAAACGAAAATTGTCCAAAGAAACATAATTAAATTAAAAACATGCGTTTCTCTTTGCCTCTCTCGCGCTGGATCTCTTTTTAACAAGTTTATTTAGTCTCCCTCGCTGCGCGGGTCTCTCTCGAAATTAAACATTTCAGGGTAAAAACATCATACAGCTGATAATACTGTATATGTCGCTGCGTGTCAGCCATACAAATCACGAAAAAATTATTTAGCCTTTAATTGTTGCTTCAAAGACACAGCATGCCTTGTTGAATTCACCTTACAATAACTTCAATTGAAATTTTGTGTGAAAAAAACTTTAAATAGGCTACAATAAATAAACTACAATATTTATAATTTAATAAGATATGGGGCCTACATTTAGACACAGATTTATCCTTACAATAATTTTGCCTGCTCATCAGGCTGGCTATCCGACACTCTCCATATGAAAGAGGAACATTAACACCTTTGTCCAGCAACTGTCCCTCCAACCCCCCACCGGCTATCGGAGTCTGAGGCTGACTTAACACAAAGAGAAGTCACAATTCACACTTAAATCGCTATTCTAGACAGTGTTGATAATGAAGGAATTAAATGATTTAAGTTACATATAGCCTAGTGATATTTCTGTCATAAAAGTTTATTACTAAATATTTCATTATTTCAATAATTGATGAAATAAAACTGGTTTGGGCCAGCTTTTTCCAAGCAAAACTAAATATAATCTGAAAAAACGCATGTTAATTTGTTGTCATGAACAAAATGTTCAACTCAATATTAAAGTCTACAGGGATCTTTGGATCCTTACAACCATGCAATTTGTGAATTAAGTTTTTATTTTTTGTATTATTCAAATAAATATGAAACACGGTGCTTCGTGGTAATGCTGCTAAATTAAATAACATTTATAGAATAATTATGAACTTAAATGAAACAATATCGCAACATTTTATTTGATCTGTTTTTACATTTTAATTCAGGGCGATTTAGCCTACATTTAATTAGAGCGAGATTTTCACCCTTGTCTTGTCATTTTCTCATTGGGAAGCGCTTACATAGGCTACATGTTTGAGTAGATCCTCTGTACCTCTCGTTTTCATATGGATTAGCCTACATAATCAGATAACATTTATTAGCCTAAATATTTAGACATTTAAAGGCTTTAGACATAGCCGATTTCTTATCGTGACTGAGCTGAAGTGGCTTTCGGTTCATTTTTGTGACGCGCAGTTCCCGGAGACAGAGACTACAGATATACTGTTTTTGTCGTTAGCCTAATATGAATACAAGTTTACAGTTTTGAACGATGTAAGCTACTCTATATGACCAAAAAATTACGGAGTCGCCTATTAAGTTATTTTAGCTGTAATAATGAGAAAAATAAATTAATCTAAATGAACGCGCCGCGTTTGTCGAACACTAACTCACCATGCCAGAATAAAACCCGACTTTAGAAAAATGCATAGGGCCACTCGGCGTGGTGTGCCAAAACACTTAATTATAAACTTCAATATTTCATTCAAAATAATCTCAACACGCTTTGTGAAATTTTGAAAAGCCGTGCATGCATTAGGGCCACTGGAACTAATGAACAACTGAAACGCTGGTTTTGATTTTATTGTTTGTCGTTTAAACGTGCCTGTTGCATATCTCTATTTTATATATTTGATATTGGTGAAGTAGCCTATAGCATTGATTAGCTGTGGAGGGAGGGGTGTGGGGATTAAAATAATTCAGCAGAAGCAGGGATGTTTAGACGAGAAGGAAATCCTAGTCCCCCCTGGCAAATCACACTTTACTTAAAACCATGTTTTTAAAAACTCTAGGTTGTAGGGAACAGACCTCTCTGCCATGCGCGCGCATGGTTTGGAGCACAATCTGTCTCGCATGCACGCTCGCTCTAGATATAGATTACGGGATATTTTAACTAATTTGCGGTATAACTAGTCGATCACGAGTGGCTCAACAGGTAGATCTATAGATAAACTATATCTTTTAGGAATTTGACCGACCGGGTTGACACTTCAGCGTGAGAAATCGGGGGTGTGGCGTGAGAGCATGAGATTTGGGTCAATTGCGTGAGTCTCACGCTCAATGCGTGAGAGTTGGCAGTCCTAAAAAAAAAAAAAAAAAAAAAGTAGATATATATATATATATAGGCTATATATAATTTATTTTTTACAGAACTGCTTTTGAAATTACGATTGGTAGCCTATTATTATACAGATGCAAAGTCGTTCTGTTGGATACTATTTTGTTCCTTAGTGTAATGGAAATGCATGATAATTGTATTTTATAAATATAAGCAAAAAAACTGTATGGTGTAACAGAGTTTTAGAGCTAGACAAATCTAAATAAATATAAAACTTACAACAGACCATGTTTGTGCGGGATTTGAACCCGTGTCATCTTGATGATGAACCGTAAGTTCTACCGCTCGGCTATGAATTTTCTCACTGAAAAATACCCAAACGTCTGTTTCTCACATGAGCGAGAAAACGTTTTGTCTTTAGCCTGTGAGTGTAGGCCTATACTTTAGCCTTTTACAGTTTTAAAAGATTATATCTTATCTGTATGACCAACAATTACGGAGTAGGCTATAAATGTTTGTTGTAGGCTTATTTGGAAATTACCATAACTTGTAGTATTTCATCCTTAGGCTACAGACATTAGCCTCACTTACGTTTTGCTAAATGTCCCTTTGCGCCACCTGGCGGTCATTTCGCGAACGACTTTGAAATGCGACTGGTTTATTTTTACCGCGGTGGATGGCTAAAAATGGGATGTGGATGGCTAAAAGGTGTGACTAAAAATGTGCTTTTGGCTTTCATTTATATTTTGATTGTTTGTATATATATATATATATATATATATATATATATATATATATATATATATATACACTACCGTTCAAAAGTTTGGGGTCGGTACGATTTTAAATACTTTTAAAAGAATTCTCTTCTGCTAACCATGGCTGCGCTTATTTGATTAAAAATACAACAAAAATCAGTTATAGTATTAAATATTATTCCAGTGTAAATCAGCTATTTTCTGTGTGAATATATAGTAAAGTGTTATTTATTCCTGTGATCAAAGCTGAATTTTCAGCATCACCAGTGTCAGTGTCTTCAGTGTCAAATGATCCTTCACAAATCAGTATAATATGAGGATTTGATGCTCAAGAAACATTTATTATTATTATCAATGTTGAAACAGTTGTTGGTCTGTCAGTTGTACAGTTTTTTTTTTTTTTTTTGGATTCTTTGATGAATAGGAAGTTCAAAAGACTTTTGTAACATTATAAATGTCTTTACTGTCACTTTCGATCAAATTAATTATTCCTTGATAAATAAAAGTATTGATTTCTTTCGTCCAAAAAATAAAAATAAAATTCTCACTGACCCCAAACTTTTGAACGGTAGTGTATATGTGTGTGTGTATGTGTGTGTGTATAAATATTTATTTATTTATATATATATTGCCCTTGCATTCTTTCTTGTGTGACACCCCTGAATGAAAGGCTCATTAGTATGCAGTCTGCTCAGGTGAGAACTGCCTAATTATTCATGAGGGGGTTGGGCCGTTCCGCCCATCCGCATATTGCCTTTGCAAACAAAAAAAATGTTTTTCACAATTTAAAACAATCTATTGTTTTATGTGAATGATTAGGCAGAATGATTTTCAGATCAATTTGAAGCAAAAACTCTAGGCGACAACATCCACTAGTCAAAAGTCTTGTGGACAGATATTTAGTATGTTATTTGTGGCCTTATATTAGAAACTTTATTTTTTAGTTTTTTCAATAACCACGCATAAACAATATTCTCTCAAAAATACAAACATGTACATACATGTTGCTCACATATTATGGTAGCCCTGTGTGTGTTATATAGAGTGTACTTTCACCTGTGCCATTAATATGTTTATAAGCAACTGAAAAAAGCAGAAATGTCAGAGCATGCCAAAACATCTCAAGGACCCCGAAAACACCTCAGACCCCAGAGGGTTAAGCAACAGCTGCTGATGAAACGGCACCGACGTTCTGACGTTCTATGGCGCATGTGCGACTTTAACTGCTACTTCGTGACGTTCTACTGTAACATCTACTACGAAAGAACAGCTGATTTGCCATAGTCGTTAATACGAGACAGATTAGATAAGTAAATGTTTTATTTTCTGGTTATGTTGCATTTTAATTGATCTGTATATAATTTAATGCCAAAAGCAACCGTTCTTCTTGCTTTTTTAAAATACTTTTTTTGTATTTTGTTAAATGATTTGATATGTCATCCTCTTTATTATTGCTTTATTGATTTTTGCATTCTTTGGCTACAACAGTTAACAGTGTACTTTACTGCCATTCCATCAGCAGCTGTTGCTTAAAGTCCCTAATGACTGCCTAAAGTCTGGAACCCATGGACATCACCAATATAACATCACTACTAATGCTTCCTTTATGATGCTTTGCCAGGCCTTTACTGCAGCTGTCTTCAGTTGATGTTTATTCGTGTTCCTTTAGTTTTGTCTTCAGCAAGTGAGATGCATGGTTGAGCATGGTTGAGATGCCTGCCTCGATCTGGTTGAGATCAGGTGATTGACTCCATTGGAAAATCTTCCACTTCTTTTCCTTCAAAAACTCCTGGGTGGCTTTTACAGTGCATTTTGAGTCATTGTCCATCTGTACTGTGAAGCACCATCCAATAAACTTTGCTGCATTTGGCTGAATCTGGGCAGAGAGTATATCCCTATATTCTTCCCGAATTCATCCGGCTGCTTCTGTCACATCATCAATAAACACCAGTGCCACTGGAAGCCATGCATGCCCATGCCATGACACTGCCTCCACTGTGTTTTACAGATGATGTTGTATACTTTGGATCATGAGCTATTTCAAGCCTGCCCTTCTCCATACTTTTTTCTTCCTGTCAATCTGGTACAGGTTGATCTTAGTTTCCTACGTCCTAAGAATGCTTTTCCAGAACTGGTCTGGCTTTTTTAGATGTTTTTTTTTTTTGGTCTAATAGAAAGGCTAATCTGGACTTTCTATTCTTGAGGCTTGCACCTTGTTGAACCCTCTGTATTTGCTATCGTGAAGTCTTCTCTTGACTGTAGACTTTGACAATGACACGCCTAGCTCCTGAATAGTGTTCTTCACTTGGCTTCACTTTTACCATGGAGAAGATCCTAATCATCTACCACTTTTTATGTCGTCTTTTCATTTTGCTGAGCTCACCAGTGAATTATTTTTTTTCTCAGAATGTACCAAACTGTTGATTTGGCCACTTCTTATGTTCCTGCTATCTCTCTGATTGATTTGTTTTATTTTTGAAGCCTAATGATGGCCTGTTTCACTTGCATGAAAAGCTCCGTTGACCGCATGATATGGGTTCACAGCAATAGCCTCCAAATGCAAATACTGCACTTAGAATCAACTCCAGACCTTTTACCTGCTTTATTGATGAATCAATTATGGGGGAGTAGTCCACACCTGTCCATGAAACAGCTTTTGAGTCAATTGTCCAATTACTTTTGGTGGGGGTACTCAAGAGCTGTATTCCTAAACCCTTCCTCCAACATATACACATACACACAAACGTTATTTATTTGATATGAAAACATTGGTGAACATTTCTCACCGGCCACTCTGCAATGTCATCAGGCCAAACATGGGGTCCTGATGAGGCTGGCTCCTCACAAGTTCTGCTCCCAGCATGGATTGCAAAGAAAAAACAATAAAATAAAAGCTAAAAATTTTCTCACAGAATGAGAGATATTTCATTGAAATTTACCTTGGGTCCTGATGACAGACTGCACCTGAAGATCTCGGCATGTCTGCATTCCATTTTATAAATGTTGCTAAAGTCTCCTGGACAAAGAAAAAAGCAAAAATGTATTTAGTAGTCATAATCCTATTAAAGAGGAAGCACCAAAATTAAGACATATTTTTACTTACAAGTCACACTGAATTAAAAGTAATTAAAATTTATGTTCAGCTTGCTTCCTCTGGATGGTCGACAAGAGCTTTGTTTGAAATTTTGACTGCGATTAATCTTCACTGGACACAACTGCTTTGCTGTTTGTGTATTGTTTATTATTGTTCATGAATGTATGTTTGTGTGTGTGTGTGTGTGTGTGTGTGTGCATTTGTACCGAGCAGTCGTCATTCTGGGTCTGCACACATCCAGATCCATCGTTCTGTACACAGCAGCCGGACTCTCTCTCTAGATCTTTGGTCTGCTGTGCTAGCTTCACTATTTGACTGTCTCGTCTGATGCATGGGGAGAACTTTGCTCCCAAGTGGATTAGATCCTCCTATGGAACAAAGAATACAGCAACAGTGAAGAGACCCACAAAGGTGACCCATAAAGAGTAACATTTCTTTAATGACTAACATTGCACAGCAGTAGAAGAGCTGAATATTTCAGTCTAACAATCACCGTCATTGTTCCAATATTAAGGTAATTTAAGCTTTCTATTAAAAGAGAGGCATAAATTCTCTTCCAATGACTAAGTAGCCAACACAAAGGTGATCCATCCATACTGTAAAACTAGTTGTTAACAATCCGGTGATGAAATGGGGGGTTTCAATTATATAAGCATAATGGCTTTATGTAAGCATCAGGTGCATTTCAAGCATCTTGATAAATCTTTGTCTGATGAGGTAGTTTACAGTAGATACGTCTGAAATAGGCTTTTCTATTCATTGAATGTTATTAGTTACACAATTACTTATTTAAACAAGAATTATTCAAAACTAGAAGGCTGACTGTAATTCCAGCTGAAGCAAAAATATCATGCGCATCCTCATCATACGCCTCAGCCTAACCCCTTCGCTGTGCTCCTCCTCCTTCACTTTTCCCTGTGGAATCTTTTCGACTTGCAGGCGATAATTCATAATATGACGTTGTAGCTGAGGAGAGGTAACTACCAGGCTAATGCTTATCACTGTGATAAGGAGTAGTATATGAATTTGTATTAATTAGTTGAATGAGAACATCCCATTTTCCAAGTCTAATTTACTTAGCACAGAATTGATTGATAATGTTAGTTTGTTAATGTAAAAGATTTTATTATTTAGAAAATAAGTAATTTAGCTATATATTTGTACACTATTATTTCCTCTGTGTGTGCCTTTGAGTTGACTTTTGGAAGCCTGAAAAAAGGCATGGAATGTTGCCATTCCATTCTGAGAAAGTCACATGGTACAAGACCCCAAAAATAATCTATCAATAATTACCATCTTTGGACAAGGGTCTATGGTATGTATGTAAAAGCTGGGCAATGATCGGGAGTGATCTCCTGCAGGAGATGCTCGGCTTAAAATAAAGTTTAATATTTCTGGCATCAAAGATCTCTGAGAAGTGATGGGTTCACTTTATTTTGATGGTCCCTTTAACACATTCAGTTGACTATAAGTAACGTTGCACCAACATCTCTCCTAACTCTCACTAGTGTTAGTAGAGTATTAGTAGACTGGTAGGGTTAGGGATAGAATAAGTTGACGTAGTTGCAAAGTTACTTATAGTCAGTAGAATGTCTGTTGGAGGAGCATCACAATAAAGAGTTAGCAGATATTAAGCAGACAGTCTACTAATACTCTAATGAGAGTTAGTTAACATGTAGTTGCAAAGTTACTTATAGTCAACAGAATGTTCAAAAGGGACCATCAAAATAAAGTGTTACCGAAGTGATTTCCCAAAAAGAGAAGGAACCACAACATTAACTGCTAAAAGAATGCTTGCTTATCTCTTCTAATTTGGCATCATTTGTGGCTTTATTTAGTCATCATCGATGAAAGCTTTTTGAAGTGATTGATTAATTTAGTTAGCTCACAAAAATGCCTGTGAATTTTATAATAGATTTTTTTTTTTAAATATGTTGTTAGCTAGAAGTGATCTACTTATCTATTTATTTATTTTATTTATCCATATGGATATACAAACTTTCATTCCAAGGGGTGACAAAGAGAGAGAACAGCATCGTCAGTCAGGTGAGGGTAAGCGTGTTGCATTTGAATGATCTACATTTCACTGCAGAATTTCATTTAACTACCCCTCAAATAAATATTTTATAATCTGGAACTTACCTACAAGCACAAGAAAAATCTCCTAGCTTTGGTAAAAAATGGCAAAGCATTTGTAGGAGCCAAATGTATTGATTCTTCAACCACTAGATGACGGTGTACACCAGTGGTGTAGGTGTGGTCACCTGTTAATATCTCATGATATTTTAACCTCCCATGGGTTGTATCAGGAAGGGACAGGTGGAGGAAACATATGGTTCTTACCATAGAACCACTGCTTTTAAACTCTGTAAGATAGCCTATACATTTCATTAAATGGACAACAAAGCATTTTGAAATGGATATCGCTGTGTGGACATTGTTTATTCCAAACTATGCATGAAGAACATCTTACCACATTTCCCTAGCTTATAGGAAAGCCACTACTAAAGTAAGAACCATCTCGGGCTAGGATATTGTTTGGAATTTAGTTTTCTTGTGCATTGGAAGGTTTTGACTTGCACATATGGCAGAGTGAGTGACTACTATTAGACCGGGATCGCTCAGAGTCTTGCTGTCTTGAACTGAACAGAGTGTTTATGCTTGATAATGTGGAGAAATCTTCGAAGCTCTACGAAATGCTGGTGAGTGACCTTCTTTGAGCGATATTGATCACATTTTGGGATGATACGGGATACGGGACGAAGTATGAAGTTTGAATCGCGGCCTGAGTTCGAATGATTGTGTTGTTCTGCAGTTCAACGGTGCTTTGGGCTTGCTGCGTTCTGTTGTGTTGAAGTGGATCTCACTCTGTTCAGTATTATTATCTTCGCTTTGTGGCTTGCTTATTGAACGTGCTTTGAAAGGAAACACGCTTATGTGCGCAATGAGCGTCATTTGAAAAATTAATGATGATGAATTCAGGATTGCAAAGGATGATGCTGATGTTGAAAGTTGAAAGTAATTCAGTACATGGCTATGCTGTTATTGAAAGAAATAGCCCTGTTGAAACAAAGACAAGAGTATGGAAAAGGACTGACAAAGGTGTTTCATTGCTTTTGCAAATTCTTAATAGACCAATGTAAATCAAAAATTCATTTGAGCAAATAAAGTTGAACAAAGGGTCAACGATCTTCTTTCCGGAAAAGTTACCAAAGAAACAGTTTCTGATGTGCAAAAATATTTCAAGAGTTTTGAAACACTGTGCAAAGATGCCATTGAAACGCATAATTCATTGCTGAAAATGCCAATGCTTCAAACGGAGTATGGAGAGCAACAAAGGTGGCTTGTCAAAAAAAAATAAAAAAATGAAAGAAAATAATGAGTTTATCACTGATGTCAAACAATGGTTATCTGATGCTGAGGTTTTATATGATGATGGAATGTCTTTAATAGACACAAATATAAATTCTGATGACAGTATATCCAATGCTTCAAAGAAAGGATCTTGCTTTAAAACTTACTCCTAGTCTGGTTCTTTAAAGGCTTCAAGCACTGCATCTGCTCGTCTCAAAGCAAAAGCTGAAAAAGCAGCCTTTTGCAATCTGTAGCCGCTTTAAAGAAATTGCATGTTCTTGAGGCCAAAGAGGAAGATCTCCAAAGACAAAAGAAGAAACTGAAGAGAGAAATTGAACAATTATAAATGGAATCAAAATTAGCTGCTGCTACTGCAAAAATGTCTATGTTGGGATCAAGCGAAGGAAGTGTTGAAGGAATGAATGCATATTAAAGCTGCAGTCCGTAGCTTTTCCTCTTTGTCGCCATCTCTCTGTTCGAAATCTGTAACTGCAGTGATTCGCGGAATTATCATCTTTATGTGGGTTGTAAATCGGCATGAAACAGCGCGGATGAACACAATGCTTTGAGGCGAGTGCTGCTGTCAGTCACCGCGCTGTGTGGATACTGTCATACAGAATCACAGATTCACTTTTTGAAAGTTTGACCAACATAAGAATTTTCATAAGAAAATGTCTTCTGAACAAGTAAGTAAAATCCATTTTTGTTCTGACCAACTAAGGGGAAAAAAGCATTCGACATGATAAGCTTCGTTAGATTTAATCAACGCGATTTACAGGACCGTGCAAATTATAGCCTACTTTGTTCTCAAATTGTTCCTGTTAACAACATCAGCATCGCGTGACTAATGTTAAATTTAATGTGTTTTATGGTTACCTGCTGTGTAGTTCAGAATTCATATTCTCCATAATAGCAAAACGAGAAGGCACAACAAAGGAAACTCCATAACTGTGTGAATTAAGAAAACGTACTGTTACACGATTGAACTATTGAAATGTCTTCTTCCGTTTTGAACCTCTTTAAAACACGGAGTTCACGCACTTTTCAAAAGCCCCACCGATGTGTATCCTTGTGTTCGCATGAGACGGTTTCTTTCTCTTTCTCTAGCCACCTTAAATCCGAAGTATGAAGTCTTTTGGGTTTTATAACTGCTGAATCTCCAGTTGACACTGATGATTGTTGTTTGGATCTTTCTGGATGCCATAAGTTTAATTAATTAAGTGCTGCGAGAAAAGCCTATACATCTAAACATCTCGTCACGCGCAGTATAGCCGGCTAGCCGAAACTCCTTCTTTATGTGTACGGGTGTGACGTAATGACGCAAAGACATGCTCGAATTTCCTGCGGAAACCCACCAGTACCACTGGAATTAAAATCATTATTACAAGCTAACCGTTTTGAATCTAGCTATGGCAAGCAGATAGTTTTGACCACTGGCAGAATATGTTTTTTTTAATATAATTATTTTGGATTATTTTTAACTTAAAAAAGTTACGGACAGCAGCTTTAAGTGAAGCATGTAAAATCATGGAAAACAAATAAATGCTCTAACCCAAAGGTGCCTTTACAGCAACGAAATGCAAGTTCTCAACATGACAGTTTGATTGTACATCCAAAGGAGAGATCAAGCATGCAAACAAGCACATGCTTCAATGCACTATAAACCTTCATCTGCAAAGCAGAAAAATTTAAGTTCCTATGGGCCTGAACATAACATTCACACACATTTGTTGCCTCCTCAAATTACCTCTCACGTTTCTACTCAAAGTCCTACCTTGTATGATGTTGTACAGCAGCAAAATAACATTACTGCTCAATTGCTTTAACAGCAAGCTTTGGATCCCTTCCACCTCAAAGGATATTAGAGTTTAATGGAGATCCATTGCAGTATGGCTCTTTTGAACAAGCCATTGAAAAAAAATAAAAAAACAGGTGACAAGCAAGAATGCCTTTACTATCTAGAGCAATATACAAGAGAAAGCCCAAGAGAGTTAGTCCGTAGTTGTCACAATAT